ACAAAAGAATGCAATTTTATAGTTAATCCTGAACACCTATTTAAGCAATTTATTGGGAATGATGGAACAAATATTCAGTTCCTCAGAAAAATAAGGTTTATTATTGAATAAGTAACGTGTTGGGTGCATGTTTTTTTCATCATTTCGATGGAGATTAGTGAGATTTGTATTATGTTATGAAAAAGGATTTTCATGGAGGAGTAGCTACACGATTGAAACAAAGATTAAGTGCTTTGCTGTTCAAGCAACATGAAGCAAAAATATTTTAATCGTGTTTTTTTTTTCTTTTCCCCTTAAAAGTCACAGCATTGGAAATTCGAGCAGTGCAGGAGCAGCTTCTAGGAGTGAATCAGTGGGCGAAGAAATATTGATTGCTATAGCTGTAATTAATAGTTCAAATTTATTTTTGTGTGCTGTACTCTGTGTTGCCCCTTCAGCTAAGCTTCCATTAGAATCTCAACAACCTGACTTCATTTCAGAAAGATAGAATCTGCAGTTGAAACCAGATATCTATATACACTGATTGAAAAGACAGACTGTGTGCAGTTATTTCAGATAAAAATGTTCTTGTTTTAGCTTAATTACCAAAATCATTTGCTTCTGGTCAGTCATCTGTTTTCTGGAATATGCTAAACACCAGAAAACAACTTTAATAATTTTGTTTCTGTAACTTTCCTTGAATTTAAAAGTTTACATACATTTGGTCAATATTCGGGTTAATTGTCTTTTGAACTGTATGATAGCTTTTGGTTTCTAATTACAAACAGAAGAATCAGAAATTCTGCAGCACTGTGCATGATTTAATAAGACACAAACATCAATGAGAGGTGAAAAAAGAAGACAAAACAAAAAACAATCACATAATACTTTCACCTATTTAAATCCATATTCAGTTGTGATGTTTATGGTTGACATATATTTAACTTGAAGTAAGAAAATTTCAACTTCTGGATTGAAAACAAACAAGGAATAAAATAATTAAGTGTTTTTTCGCAAGAAAAAGTATTAAGAATTAAGAAAGAATTACTTAATTCACAAGAATTATTAGAGTAGTGTTCAGTACCATCACCACTCATATTATTTAAATTTGTTATATCATCAACAGTAAGGTATTCAGAAACTACATTTTATAGTAAAATGTTTTCTGTAGAAACATTTTATTGATTCATCTTTTTAATTTTAGCACTAAGCAATTTGGTTTTGAACATATTAATGCATTAATCTTAAAAACACTGAGACAGAATTGACTTTTGTGTCTTCATTTCTGAATGTGAACTCAGTAATAAAATAGTGAACAGATTTATGTGGCAGCAAAATATTCAGTTTACCCTGAAACAGACCACCTATCTATTTCAAGCAGTGACATTTGCTGACAGTTTATGTGGTGAAGCGCTGGCGCTTTGGGCAGGGAAACTTCATCCACAGTGGGGTCATGTTTTAATTTTAGAGCCATCAAAACCTCGTCTCCAGTACACATACGCACAGTCACACTTGCACAGATAAATTCACACCAACTCAGTATATGCATTCCATACTGAATTTAAGTGATGTTGAGTCAAAAGCGCAGTACTTGATTAAGTAACCCAAAAATTATTTATGAACCATCCTGGAAATAATAGAAATGCTCAAAACAGAATCTGTGGAACATGGCTTAGGAGTCACTCATGACATGCACAGGTAGACATGCAGATGCCAGACACGCATAACCTTCCAGCTATTTCTACTGTAGTCAGGTGGAAAAATATATTTTTATGAGGTCAACACCCTGGATGTAGTTACAAAACATGACTTACTTTGTGTCCATCTTGGACGTTGGAATAATTAATGTGTTAGAGGAAAATAGAAACTTTTATTAGGATATGTCTTTATCAGTTTTAGCTAATTATTTCACTCAAAGAATGTAGAGCATCTGTAATCATAAACTTTGTCTGGTCACAAATCCTTAATTAAATTTAGGTCTGACTTTGTCTAGGCCATTTGAAGCTTTTAGAAAATCGTAATTATTTATCAATTGCATTTCACTTACTTCTGTATAAATACTAACAGCTCAAAAATACTAAGTATCATATTTTATCATTAAGGTCAATAATACTGAGCAAGCCATAAATGGAAATGCCTTGTTTTTAACTGCCATGGACTTCCATGGTATGTGTGTATGCCATCAATTAAGGCATACAAACATAATTAAATCGACATTTTTTTCTTAAAGTTGAAATTCTTAAAACCGATTCAATTTTATTAATTGTCCATTTTCAACATATGTCTTAAAGTAGATAATTAAATTTAAGTGAATGTAACTGTGAGGATGTCTTGATTGCTTCCAGATTAATGCTAAAGGTTAAGCACAGTGAAGTGATCAGCTGTTTTTTGTTGTTGCTGCAGGTTACCACTGGAGGGCGAAGTTGAGCAAGATGCTTACACCTCCGACTCAGCCGCTCATCAAAGGTAGGAGGAGCTGGCTGGTGGTCACTGATCACCCAAGTGGTAACCTTAGTACTACTCCTGGCTCTTTTTTTATTTTGCATGTGCTCAATGCTTATGCTAACGTTTCTTTCCTCGGATATCCCTGAAAGTTACCTCCAATGTTGTGATTCCTCAGTCAGTCTTCTCAGGACAAGAACTTCCTGGATAAACACAACCATGACTAGGAACTCCAATGCTCCTCTTCACCACCATCCTCCAAGCCGAACCCATTCAGTTTCAAACACTCCCCTTGGACTTTGCTCCGTTATTTCTGACATCCATCATCTTACAGCCTCTGCACTCATCTCCTAACAATAATCACATTTATGATCCACGCTGCTAATCTTCTTCCTCACAGTGTTCCAAGAACTTCCCGAATGAAGAGCATCACTCGATTCATAATTCCTGTTCACAATAAACCTCTTAATGCTGCTGTTATTCCAGGACTGTCTGGTGTGTTCCTTAGTCTTCATGATGATTTTATTAGCGGTGAACATTTATCATATCGTTTATCATTTGTGGTAAAAGAAAATACTTGTCATGATAAGAATTTTGATATATCATTCAGAAAAATTTACCGAAATGTTATTTCTCCAAGAGATCCTCAATAAGTGGCAGTAAATTCAAAAACATGATTATGTGCAGCTTTGTAGTATAAATCAGATGTGTTTATGTGAATAGTGTCCAAAAAAGGCATTTTCAGAATTAATGTGTAAGTATATTTTTCAAATGTTTTTCATCACATACTTATACATGAATTCTGTGCAAAAAAGTTTTGTCTATACAGTTATCTAACAAATAAGTAACTAGTTTTTAGCATTATCACCACAGTCCTACAAAATATCATAATAAAATTCTAAGTCTATATCATGCACCACTGATTTTTATGCTCTTTCGACATTCTGCATATATATATTGAATTAAATAATTAGTTATTGCTATTATGCCAGTGTGGTCATTGTGGAGAAAGATATAAAAGTGCAACGCTTGCAAAAAGCGTTTGGCATCTGTGACTTGGCAGCAAAGACACCATAAGACCGTTTTCTGTTTTAAGTGTTGAACCAATTTCAAGGCTTTTTTCTTTTAAATTAATTATTTAGCATACATTCATGGGCAAGGTCTCTCTTTAGTCAGATCTGCATCATAATGTATGATCAGACATCCGTGTGGATTTGGCTGAGTGTGTAGAAATAGCAGCCCAAGTTTCTAAGTGGAAACAGAAATGCAGGACCTCTAAAGTATGCCAGCGTGTGCAAATGTGTCCAATTTCCCGAGGCTTTTCAGATACCAAAGCCAGACCTCAAAACTATCATCACTGCTCCCACCCCCATCTGCCAAAGCCATCACTCATGCAGAGACACCCTCCCTCTTTATGTTGGACACACACAAACACGCACATGCAGAGACACAAACACTGACAAAAGAGGTGTGAAATACCCATCCCTCACTATTTTAACCGGGTTGGTAACTTGGCAATAAACTTTTTAATGTTCGAAAGTTCTGTTCTTCAGCTCAACTTGCCAACTCCCTATTACTGACAGACACAAACAACGACTAACATCTGTTAGTCTGCAGAGGTGTTGGTAGTTACCAGCAAGTACAACAAAATTAAAAGAAGCTAGAAGCAGCATTATTCTTTCTGTTGAAGTTCCTTTCTCCCCTGCTTTGCAACGTGCTTTGGATCAGTAACTAAGGAATTGTTTAAATGCATTACTGCATCTGCCTTAAGCATGGCGAAAAAGGGAAATGTGCAGCAAAGAAAGATATAACATTGGGTGAGGAGCAAACAAAGAAGAAAGGAGTCGAAGAAAATTAAAAAAATGAAAATCGTAGCTTTGAGAAAGAATGAAAAAAGTAGCAAATTAGGAGAAAAAATGCTCGAGTGACTAAAGGCTTTTTGTATATTCGTATGAGACTGTCTTCATCATTAAATTGTTTGTATGCAGTTTTGAATATAGAAGAAGAAAATAGATAAATAAAAGAAGTTTAAAATTAGTTTCCATTTATAAAATCAGACCGTAAAAATATAAAATAGAATTTAGGCCAAACAAGATCTTTGAATGGACTTCTATCAATTTGTACCCTTTTGTACAACTGATATCTAAAATCAAAAATGATGTTTATAATCGAACTTATAAATTGTATTTATTTTTATGTAAAACTGAAAAAAGAAGTATAAATAAAACTATAATCCTGATTCAAAATAACGACATAAAATATATAAAATGAAGCTCAAGCAAACCAGAAAATAAGTTAGTAGTTTTGTGCAAAAGCATGAAGTAGCAAAATTTACTTTATAGACCATATCATGATTCAGTAAGCTATAATAGAGCTCATTTACTTGGCAAGACAAAATAACTAAAAAAGGCATTCAACAAGTTTGAAAAGAGTAGAGAAGGCTCCAGTGGTGGAGGTATGACGGGTTCCGGTGTGTGGGAAATTTAGGAAGAAAAGTCGTAAACAAAGATTAAATTAGAGGAAGAAAAATAAACAGAAAGGATTTGGAGTTTCTCACAGATGGAGGGAGACAATTGTACCTTGGTAAGGACGCGTACTGGCGCTCCACTTCCTCGTATCGTGGAGTCAGACGGGGATCAGTGCCTCTGCCTGGTATCTGGCGGACAAAATGAACGTTAGTTTGGAGCAGTAGGAACAGGAGCAGTAGATACCTAAAGTTGTGGCATCTTACTAGTACAGCATCTTGTATTAAACTCTATATTAAAGAAGAACAAACTTTAAAGCTGGGAGTGGAAGCATGTGGGATGCTTAGCCATAAGCCCCTCATTTTCTCGATGTTTGGGTGTTTGTGATACTCTGGTAATTTAGGACCAAAAAAAGCTCGTTTTTAGGGATTTAGGTCTTCTGAGGTTTGTTGGGGTGGGGGTAGGAAGGGTCTCCATCCAAGATTAGGTTACTTCAAAATATTATGTCTCTCTCTTTCTTTCATAAACACACACGCGCACACACACACAGTTTCACATGAAGAGAACTGCACCTCATCTCCATACTGAAAGAAAAAGAGCAGCGATTAATCCAAACTGCTGACAGTTCAATCTTACCTCCTCTTCTCACTGGTTCTCACTTTAACCCTCATCATCTTGTTTTCTCCTTCTTCACATATTCCTGTTTTTTTTTTTTTAACCCTCTCTCTCTCCCTCTCTCTTTCATTGAAGCACAATATTTCCCTCTGAGAATATTTTGGTCTGTTCAGCGAGGAGATTCCAGCTCGACTAAAGACCAAAACATCAACATACTTTATCTAGGCAAACACACACAGCCATACACAAAAAAATGGTTTTGGTGCTCGTTAAATGCATTTTCATTTCACATTTGTCAGGGTAAGACAGTGCTTTCGCCCAAAATTTCTATGAATAAGATTGTGTAAAATTTCCAAGTTGGATTTCTGTGTCAGAAATGGTAACAACAAAGTAAAAATAGAATAAGTAATTAGTTAGATTACTCATGAATGAAAAAAGTTTATTTTAATGGTGCTATTCTTATCACTGATTAACTAATGTTCCCGTCTGAGCTGTGGATCTCTGCAGCTCTTCTAGAGTTACCATCGGCCTCTCGGCTGCTTCTCTGACTTTTGCTGTACTGGCATGTGACCTATATTAAGGTGTTGTTTGGTTTCCAGTAGAAGTGGGCAATGACTGTATCATTTAGCATTTATTGCAATGAATTTCTGATCACAGTGGATTTTAAGTTATTGCTATCACAATAAATTCCAATCAATGTTGTTTCAAGTCCCCCAAAATGGTTCCTTCTGTTCGTATTGTTATCACAATAGTATCACAAAATATTGTGATAAAATTTGAAATCCATGTGACCCACCTGCTCTGAGACATATTCAAAGGTTTTTCACAGTTTTCTTCCTGACCTATCATGTTCATGTTCTTTGATCTTCATGATGCCCTAAGCTCACCAATGTTTTCTCTTAAACCTCTGAGATCTTCACAGTTGGATTTATGACGAGACAAAGTCATATCAACATAGATTCCTGAAAAAATAGAGTTGCACGGATTACATTTAGGTGTATCAGAGTCAAGGGGTAAATATACATGCCACACATTTCAGATTGGAAACTATTGAAAACAATGTACTGTATTTACATTTCAATTATTTACACAAAATCAATTAAAGTTTGAGGTTGGAACTGTAATCCCAGCTCCAGAAAGAAGGACAGAGGGAAATACATTCAAAACTACACAATATGAGGTGAGGTGTGTTGGAGACAAAAGACTGGAGACATCGAAGAAAGCTCAGTGCTTTTTCCTTCACAACATGCTGCGATTTTGATATCAAAGAGCACAGCTATTTGCTCTCCCACTTTGCCTTTCCTCTTCTATCTGTATTCAGGGAAACGACGCCAGGAGGCATATAAATCAGATTTGCTGGCCCTGCTTTCTTTTGAACACCTGTCTTTATAGCTTCAATATCTCAGGTAAAGAAACTGCGGGATATTAAGAGCGAATAAAGATTGGGAGCTAAGGAATGAAAAGGCATTAAATGGAGAAGAACGGAGAAAAGAGAGCTGGAGTGAATGAGACGGGAGTAAAATGACTTACAGAGGAGGAGGGAAATTATGAAGTTGTTGAGGAGGGGCAAAGGGAGAGAAAGGAGATGAGAGGTGACTTATAAAACAAGAGAGCGAATGAGGTGAAGACAAGGGCGGAGGAGTGGGGAGGTGGAAAAGATATTAACGGCACAATTTAAACAAGATGTTAAAGGGGGAACCTGAGATGGGAAGAGATGAGCGGATGAATGAGTTGCATCATGTGGTGGAGGCTGTAAGAAATGATGAGTTGGTGAAGCAAAAGCTGATGTGAGAAAGCTTTCCACATCTGGAAAACACTCATCAATTAAACACGTCAATACAAAAAGTTGTCACAAATAAATTACATATTAGAAATGACCAGCAGATGTGGGTTAATTAATTAATTTGTAGGTTGAACACCGGTGAATTTCAGAAAGAAAGTGAAGCTAAATTCATTATTCAGTTAAAAATTTTAAGAAAAAAGGCAGATTGAAAAAGTCTGGAAAGGAATGTTCAGATTGTAATGACATTATACAGCATAAAGAAAATCCCTCATTCAACAACATGTTTTACTCACTGACAATGAAGTGGAATCATTACATTTTGGAGATGTTCACTGTCAGGTGCACAATGTGCAGGTAAGAAGCTGGAAACCTAACTTGTGCAATCGCTGGTGGAGTTAACGTTCTCTTCTATTTTCAGGGGAAATGACGCCTAAACTTTTACCTTTTTCAACATGCAGTTTTAAATCATATCTCTTAATCTTGTTTATGTATGAGATTAAGATATTAAAAATGATGTCAACTCTTAACATTTTTCACAAATCTTAAAAGAGTTCAGTGAATTTGTACTCAGTCCCCATGAGTCAATGCAAATGTTTACATTAATTTTTCAAGTCTTTTCTCTATCACTAAATCAATTTCATGTCTAGACTAAATAACAAGTGATGTTTTGGCTGCTTCTTTGATTAGCATATTATTACTATGATGGACTAAACAGGAAAACATTAAATTTTTAAAGGTAAGGATGTAGTTAAATAACTCAACAGAGATTAAAATACACACTTCCACTTCCTAACTTGATGACATCTGCAACAGGACTCTATTCAAGGATATGAATGTAAAAGAGGATGAATACAAAAGCATGCTACACTTTTAAGACATGTATTTACTAAAAGAGAATCATATATTATCGTTCCTACTATGTGTTTGACTAAAAATATGAAAACATTCAAGGCACCATACAAAGGAACACACCTTTTCCATCACATGCAGCCAAACACACACAAGGCTACGTACTGGTAGCTGTACACAACTCATCTTTACCACAGATTGAAAAAAAAAAAATCATAATCTTTCTGTTTCAAGTGCAGCTACACAAACACACATCATTCCCTCTCTCCAGGCAAACACACACACCTTAACACACTCCCTTTCACTCACAGAGTCCTGTGGCAGCACAGTAGTGCCCTGGTAGGGGTAATGGTCTAGTGAAAAACCATTTCACGGCATAGTGAGCAGAGGAGAGGCAGGGAGGAGAGCACAGAAATCAAGCAGAAGAGACTGATGCTGAGGGAGAGCACACACACACTTTTACACACACGCACACATACTGTAAGAGGGGCTCATCTCTCTCCTTTTAACAGACCCTTCAATTTACCCATAAAATACACCACCCATCACTTTCAGCACTGACGCACACTCCTACTGTTTCTCTCTCTATCTCTTTTTTTCCACAGATACAATGAAACAGAGACATGAAAGATCCAGAGTCCAGTCCCTTTCACTTGAGCTGTTTCAAGGATGTGTCAAAGAACCTTAGATGGGCACAGAGCATTTTGCAGATGTATACAGCTTAAATTAGAGTAATTTGTTCAAACTCTGAACTGAGTCTTTCTTTTCTTTGTAATTCTGCTTCTGGCACCCCTTCATTGTTTTCTTCTTCTTCTCCCCAACCGTCTGTGCTTACACCTCTCCCAGAGCAGACTTAATCATTTCTCTTCATTAACCAACCTCGCTCCAGTTAAATAAAGGGTTCTTAGGAGTACTGTGAAATCGCTTCCTTCAACTCAGCTTGTTTAAAATCTCTATCCTTACTCCTGCTTCTTACTCAAATTCCTCTCCTGTCTCAAAATGAAGACAGGAGCCCAGCAGACTTCACTCAGTAGTCCCCTGGCTTAGGAAAACTAGTTTACTGAACTATGAAGACAACCAAAAGGAGCTGCGGAAGCAGGAAGTCAAAAAAAAATTCTTTCACATAAGGTTGTATAAATTAGGCCAAATTGTCAAAACTCAGAATGAGCTGTTTTAGGATCTCCTGTCATTTTAAATCCAAATAAACTGCTGCTGGCCATGCCTCCCCCAAATCAACGTTTACACTCGCACAAGAAAACATATGCACAATTACACAACTGTTCATCTTTGAAAAGCATAAGCAAAGCCCAACACAAAACCAAGGAGACTGCAGCAAGTGGTTTCTGGATTGTAAGTCAACAACAAAACATTTGTCTTTTACAGTAGCTATTGTACAGAACATACAGCTGTAAAATCAGCTGACCAAACACTGGAGCTTCGCTTGGGTTGTTAGGTGAAGTTCTGGACTCAACTGAGGTTACTAGGTAATGGTGCAATCGTAACTCACCACCAAAAGGTTTTTGGAACTGCTCATTTTCAAAACACCAAAAACCATAAAAAACTGTGGTATTTGAGCCTGTAGATTTGAATTTGGTGAAAAGATTGGCCAAAATAAACTCAAACATATTGGAAATTATGTTTCCAGTATGTAAATTCTAGGCAAATTTGTCTCCTCGTGAGTACAAATTGGAAAAATAAAATATAAGGTAGGGCAAAGTATTACAAGACCCAATTTAATCTCACGTTCATGCTAACAATGGTTGTATAAAAACCTTTTCTCAAAATGTGTAAACTAAGGAATAAAACTAAATACCAGCCATATGTGATGAAGAGTAAATTAGGACCAATGTTTTAAACACACCAGAATAATCTTAACACAACAATGACAGTTTCATCTCTCAACCAATCTTATCTGTGCAGTTACTATCCTGCTAACGTGTATCC